TGTGCTATAGGGTCTGCGACGCTGCAGTTAATGGGGTCTGGAGCTTTTCAATACCGCTAGAAGTGGACTGGGTCCAAAAGAAGGTGTTTTAAGAAGGTTTGGGCAAGGTGATTTCAATATGGAACCCAATCACTTTGTAACTAGAGATGGGCATGAATCTCTGGTTTGGCAGGTCGTTCTGGTTCGTTTTCTGGCCAAACAGGTGCTTGTTGGTTCCCAGCCCTTCCCTAGAGTGGGTATCCACTCAGAGGTAGTACCCTGACACTGCCTCTGAATGGACACCCACCAGAGGAAAAGGGGCTGGGACACACCAAACGTGGGTTTGGCCAAAAAGCAAGCTGGAATGAGCTGTTGAACTGGCTTTTCATGCCTGTCTCTGTGCAGGCATGAATAGCCAGAGGTCAACTACGATTGTCCGTAGTTCCCTTGAACTGGCTTTTCATGCCTGTCTCTGTGCAGTAGTCAACTACGATTGTCCATAGTTCCCAAACTTGGGTCCCTAGATGTCCTTGCACTACAACCCCCAGAAATCCTGGCTAGCATAGCTTGTGGTGTAAGCTTCTGGGAGTTTTGGCCCAAAAACTTCTGGAGACCCAAGGTTGGATCTCTACAGGCCTGGTAACTTCAGAAATATGTAGAGATGGGAACACCTGGGTCTCCCTGGGTGTCGATGGACTTCATGTCCTATTATCTCCATCCAGTGGTCAAGAATGATGTTCCAAAAAAAGTCTGATGGGCCACACATGCTCACCTTTGAGAGTTTCACCCCAGCCACTTCTGAAGCCTGACCTTGTATTAGAGTATATATGTGTTTACTGATCAACAACCAGCAGACTGGGACAATTGGCTATATCCCAAGAAGACCAAAAAGGTCAATGCTGACAGATGTCCATGGAAAGGCCAAGTGTGACCTGAAAACACTGGCAGTATTGCCCAACCAAGAGGAACCAACCAACTGCTTGGGTGGATGGAATTACACTGGTGTCTGGGATCGTAAACCAGCCTCCCTCAGCAGAGTACAGATTTGCAGGAGAGTATAGATTTGAAGGCACCCAATTCCAGTCCTACAAATGTTCCCACTTCTACATCCATCTGTGCTTCTTTAGTTGGCAACAGGAAGGCTAGACCAGGGATCCTCTGCTTGCTGACTCCTTAAATTGTACCCCCACCCATCGAAATTTGCCAACAGTGGCTTACAATAAATTCCTAACCAACCATTGGCTAAAGCTTTACGACTCCGCCTTAGGGCAATGCCTAATTTGGCAAAAATAATCACACTAATAAATGATGCAAGCTTCCAGTATCCCAAAGCCTTGCATACATTTTGGAGGTACTGTTGTCCTCAAAAAGATATTACCGGTACCCAATATGACATTTGGGTTTTGGACTTTTACGGTCAACAAAGATGCCTCAACATGTTTTCTAAAACCTTTAACAGATTAATCAGAGCTGGTGGGGGAGGGAAATGAAATCCTTTAGGGATGCCTATGGGTCTCAAACTCTACCCTTCTTCTGCCCATCATATACAGCTGGCTGGAAGAACCTGAGACTTATACTCAAAAAAGGCAACCAGTTGAATGGAGTGGATATATTATACAAGTATCCAGATCACAAGCAAAAGATGGACTGGATGACCCCCGGAGTTCCCATCAACAATTCTACAATTCTGTGACTCTGCTGTGGACTCCCTCATTGAGTCTTGCTTGCCCCAAGTGCTTTTCTCCCTTCAGTTGTGAGAGCAGTGCCTGAGTCCCTCTTTCCTGCTCAACCTCCCCATCTAGTGATGCTTGTTCAATAATTTAAGATCCGTCTTACTGATCCCCCCCGCTCCCCATTGCCTGACTCAGCAAAAGGAACTCTGGATCTTCTTTTAAAAATTCAAAAGGCCCGTGGAAAGTGGGAGCTCTTTGCTGCCCGTGCTGAGCGGAGGCAATTTGATCCACCTACTGCCCTTCCATGGGTGAAGGCAGGTTGCATTGGCCCATGGACCAAATCCACCCTCACCAAACGGAGTGATTTTGAGAAGGAGCAGCTGCCTTGTGCCCAATGGCCAAGGAGGCTCTTCTGGACATACCTTCATCCAAATGGTTCCAACATCAATGAGTAAGGAGAATACCGGTAAGACAAAAACAAAAGAAGATCCTGGTGTTGTTAACAGCAAGGTGAAACACCATTTATTTACCTTTTGCTTCCATGTGGTATAGAATAATTTAAGCGAAAGAGGAGGAGGAGGAGGAATAAGAAAAACAAAATCTCATGACGTGCCCTGTAGCTACTCTCCAAAGACGTATCCAAAAATGTAGGCACTTGCCTTGATCCCTAAGGAGTTCTAGCAGTTTCCACTTCCACGGGGAGTGGGTCTTTTGTAAAACTAAGGGCTCTTAAATGCACATTCAAGATCAAATTGCCCCCAAATGGTTAGTATTATGACCTAGCACTGTTGCTGGAAAAAGATGGGTTCCCTCCCCCAATTACTGTACTATTAAGATTGCAGCTAACTTCAGAAACAAAATGGAAACTTGAAATAAGAGGCAGGCGATGTCACCATCTTTTTGAATCAATATGCCCCCAAATAGGATGATAGCCTCACTTTAGTTATTTTTGCTTCTAGTGAGAATTCACTTGATTTGATCTAGAACCCACTTACTCTCTGGTAGTCCAGAGAGCTCTTGTCTAATACCATGTCTTGATCATAAATTACCCCACACACCCCGTCTCAGCTTTCTTCGTTGTCCAACTTTTACATCCATACTTTCTAACTGTTGCTGAATTTTGAATTTCTGCTAAATTTCCTTTTGCCACACAGCAGAAGTACAGAGAAATACAGAGCAGGATAGCTACATGTTTCTCAGATAGTCTGCTCCTTTCTCATTAACTGGCACGTGAAGGTCTTGATAACTCAGTCTGAGACATCTGTAGGAGAAAGAATGAAAGAACATTATATGACTTACAGTTGTGAACAGATCAACAGGAAATGAACAAACCCCTGATTATTTCCAACAGACTTAAGAGACAGAAAGGAGAACACTCAGCAGAGAGGTGGGAGAGAACAACGGGTTAGTGCTGGATAAATGTACAGTCATTCCAGCCCAGAAAAGTGCCTCAAACCAAATGGCAGCATGCGAGATTGTCAAAACTCCAACAGTAACTGGAAATACCATAGTATGGATGAACTTGGCTTTTCTTCTGAGAACTCACAAAATGCAACTTTTTCAGAAGCCATGAAATTGCAGTATAGTCTCTGCAGTTGGAGATCATGATACTTAAATGTTTTGGTGTCTTCTATTTGAGAAGATGCTGTTTGGATGTGTGCAACGATTCCTTTGATGCTTCAACCGTAATGTCGCCATCTCTTAACCTGAGCATCCCTTCATTATTACCATGCTACATTTTAACCAGTTTTAATCTTTGCTAAATCACTGCTTACAAGGCAATGGAAAGCAATGATTAAAGTGGCATGAACCATCTTTTGAATTTTAGACTTTGCACTTGGTCTCAAATTTAAGCCGAGTGCTTTCCTTCTGCGGTCCATTTTTAAAATTGAAAATGTAAGTGTTTTTTTTGGGGAGAAGAAGTAGAAAGGTGATAGTGAATGCCTGCCAAAATGAAGAGGATATGAAACCATTCTAAAAAAATTATTATGTGCCTTTAAAAATCACACATTTTGAAAGACAAGGGACAATAATGTAAAGAGTCACAATTCCCCCCCACAGAGACTGTATTGTTCTACAATAGGGCTTAGAAGAAAAGACTGTTTCGGGACCACAACTGTGGAACATTTCAACCCCTGTCGTTTGTTTCCCAAAGGACACTCATGGTACTTTTGTGAGCATCATTCATTGGCCTTCTACAAAACAAGTGAACCACAGCAACAACAAGAGGTTGAAAGAGTGGAGAACTCATCAGAAATCAGATGCTAACCAGGTGCAATGATGGAGCCTCATCCGGGATGGAGTCGTGCAATCATATAATAAGACAAAGGAGGAGAGGGCAGATTATAGGGTCGCTTACAACTTATGGGTCTCAAACACCAGCACTGACACTATAAACAATATCTATTTGCTGTGGAAATAGATGCATATTTTGCTGCATGCCCTCTGATGACCTCATTAGAATGCCCCAACAACACAAACAGGTACAGAACTGTGAAAGGTGTGTATATGTGTAAAAGAAAGTTGATAAAAATCAGCGTGCAATCTCCCCGAGGTTCTGAAACCTGTGATGGAAATAGGGCAGGTGGTGGCACAAAACAGGAACCGCCCAGGAAACCCCAGCTAGTGAGTCATGAGGAAAAAGAAAGTTGATAAAAATCAGCGTGCAACCTCCCCGAGGTTCTGAAAGCTGTGATGGAACTGGGGCAGGTGGTGGCGCAAAACCATCCAGGAAACCCCAGTTAGTGAGTCATGAGGGCCGATCCATGCTGACTGCTGACCAGGTTTTGATCCAATGGATTCAAAGTTGAAAAAATGTTATGTTTCACATCCCACCTTGGGTTCAGTATGTGCTTTGGCTAAGTGCCTAGGCATCATCCTCTTTGTTTCAACCCAGTGTGCAGTGGCACATTGTCTTGGCGCTTGCATAAAGAGGATTTCATAGAATCATAGAATAATTAAGTTGGAAGGGGTCTATAAGACCATCAGATCCAATCTCCTTGGTCAATGCAGGGATCCAAATCAAAGTCTACCTGACAGGTGGCTGTACCATGTTCTCTTGAGTGTCTCCGATGTTGCAGTGCTCACCACCTCCTGAGGTGATTGCTCCCATTGTCATACTGCTCTAACAGTTAAGAAGTTTTCCCCAATATTCCGCCGAAACCTGGCTTCCTGTAGCTTGAGCCCATTATTATGTGTCCTGCACTCTGAGATGATCGAGAACAGATCCTGTCCCTCCTTCTGTATCTTTGAAGTATTTGAAAATTACTGTCTAACCCAGCGAATCTTAGAGAAAGCATCCTTAAAATGTTTCATAGATGTAATTTTACCCCTGTAAGATTGGCGGAAATGTCAGAAGGTAACAGTAATGTTTTTTGGAAGGGTAAAAAAAAATAAATCCAGGGACTTACTATCATATGTGGTGGTCATGTGAAAAAGAAAAAAAAATGGATACAAGCATGGGAGATGGCAAAAGAAATTGTTCAACAAAAAATAAATTTTTAACCTGGAATGCTATTCTTGAATATAATGCCAGAAATTATTGACAAGAAAATAAAATATAGTCTACTATATATATTCACAGCAGCTAGGTTACTCTACCAACATGGATTTGACCCAAATCCGGGTGGCAGTGGAAGACAGGAGGGCCTGGCATGCTCTGGTCCATGGGGCCACAAAGAGTCGGACACGATTTAACAAATAAACAACAACGACAACAGGTTACTCTGAGCCCAAAAATGGAAGAATGAAAAGACACCAACGATGGATGAGCTCTTAAAGAAGCTACTGGACATTGCAGAACTAGACATGCTTTCAGAGGCACTACGGGATCAACCAAGAGACTTTGTAAAGGAAAACTGGAAACTGATACATAATTGGGCCCAGAAAAAGACAGGAGCTTAGAGGGGAAAATTAGTCTATAGTGAACTCAGTGCTCACCGGAATCCTCTTGAAAACATTCGAAGTCCAGACCATGGTGAAATCTCTGATCCATAGGGGACGGAAGGAGGTTTAGTTGGTAGTTTTCCTTTTTGTCTGTTTGGTTGTTAGATTGTTAATGTTTGTAAGCTTGTAAACCACAACCACAACCACAACCACAAC